AACCTGTTTTGCTGATTACAGTTTTATTTTTATTGTGACATTCCTTCTAGAGAGGATTTAAATATTCATTTAGTTACATTAAACATGATCTTTGTCATTATCCAGACCTTAGTTTAATAAACTATGGTGGATCTCCTTCAACCACAGAGACTGTAGAAGAAATCAGTCCATTAAACAAATCTTTTTGTCTTATTCTTGCAGATAACTATGCTACAAACCAAGAGCAGAAGAAATACCAAGAAGAAGCCATCCCAGCTTTAAGAGATATTCCTATTAGTGAAGTAAACCAAATGTTCTTTCTTGCAGCCAAAGAACTTTACACTAAAAACTGAACCGTATGTAAACATTAATGCCAGGCATTTATTTATAAATTTTTGTTACAATACTTTTAACCATTATTTTAGTTGTCGCTTATTAATACCTAGTGTTGAAATGGAAAAAAAGTAAATTGAACATCTCTTAGGTTTTTTTTAAGTTCCATTAATATTGTAAATGTTCTCAAATATTAGTTACTAATGAAGAGAATAAATAAAAACCACTATATTCCCATATACCAGATACATGTCAGTATAAACAAGGTCTTTGGAGGGCCAGAATTCAGACTCTTAGATATGGGGGGAAGATACATTTAATATTTATGTCCTTGCCCTGAGATTCATGTTTAAAGATACAAACAATTATTTTTTAAGTAATTACTGTGTGCCAGGTACTGGGCTCTGGGGATTTAGTAATGACAAGATTCTCTCTCACAGAGTTTACATTTTAGAGACACCTGGAGACAGACTAAGCAAATAAACAAGAAAAACATCTATTGTAGTGAGTGCTCTGCAGAGAATTAAGATGCTGTAATGTTCTACAAAATAAAGGGATGATGACTTGAGGTTGTGTGGTCAAAGAAAGCCTTTCAGAGAGAGGCAGTTTGGGATTGAGATTTAAATAGCAGAAAAAGGAGTCAGTCCTAAAAGATTGGAGGGGCAAGATAAACTTCCAGATGTGAATCAAGGCAAAGATCTTGAGGTGGGAAGGAGCTTGGTGTGTCTTCAGAGCAGAGAGAAAACTAGCAGTGGGCCTAATGCATACCAAAGGGGCTGGGATGTGGTCTGAAATGAGCCTGGAGAGGCATATCCTGGGTGGTTATGGCTTTGTAAGTCAGTATAGGAAGTTAGGATTTAAGGGGATGTAACGAACTTGAAATACTTCAACTTGAAGTACCAAGCTGTTGGGGGGCTTTAAGAAAAGGACTGGCATGGCCTGATGTATGTTTTTAAAAGGGCATTCTGGCTCTTGGATGGAGAATAGATTGGGGGCAAGGGTTGGGAAGAGGGCAAAAGTGAAAATAAGGGAACTAGTTAGGAGGCTTTTACGTTAGTCCAGACAAGAAATTACTGCAGCTTAGAGCAAAGTGGTAGCAGTGGAAAAGTAGGTAGGTTTTAGAGCCTTTGCTGGAGACATAACTAACTGACTGGGTAGATGGTTTGATTGTGCAAGAGCTCTTGTTGTTAGGCTCCAACTAGTTAATTTTTGATTCCTAGAGACACATGTGACAAAAGTAGAACTGCCCCATAGAATTTTCTAGGCTATAATCTTTACAGGAGTGGATCACTGGGTCTTCCTCACATAGAGCCATTAAAACCAAAAACACACTTCCAACAAGTCAGTTTTGACTTACATGACCCCCATTGGGTTTCCAAGGCAGTAAATCTTTACAGAAGTAGATTGCCCCTTCTTCCTTCTGATGGCATTGAACCACGAACCTTTGGGTTAGCAGTCAGATGCCTTAGGCGCTACCTCACAGAGCCATTGGGCAGATTCAGATCACCAACGTTTTGGTTAACAGCCAAGTGCTTAACCATTGTACCACCAGGACTGGGTGAGATAAATTATGATTGTGGATCGTTCTTAGGTTTTTTTTTTTTTTAAATAAAGAACTGAGTAGATGGTTATGCCTTTGAGGAAGTACAGTGGAGGAGGCTAGAAAACTATTAAGGATTATGCTTTGGCTATGTTAGATTTGCTGTGTCTATGAGACTTCAGAATGGAGATGTTAAGTAAACAGTTGGACATATGAATATGAATTTTCTTATTTTGCAAATATCTTTTCTAAAATATCATTAATGCACTGTATTTCTTGAGAAAGTCCTTCTCAACAAGTATATATAAATTAATCATTTAACCAAATTCCACTTAACTCTTCACTTTCCAGTTCCTGACTTTTATGTCTGGCAAAAAAACAGATATAAAAGAGTATATACTGTATGATTTGGAGGAGAATATAAACTAGAAGGAGGCATAAGGCGCCTGCTGGGGAATTGGAAATGCCTTATATCTTGATCTCACTGGTGGTTACATGAATACACTGTTGTTGGGTACCATCAAGTCAATTCTGACTTATATGGCAGAATACAACTGCTCCGTAAGGTTTGCTAGATCGTAATCTTTTGCAGAGCAGATCGTGAGGTCCTTTCTCCCATAGAGCCAGGGCCGCTGGTGGGTTCAAAACCCTGACCTTTTGATTAGCCAAGTGCTTTAACCATTGAGCCACCAAGGCTCCTTTACCTGAGTATAACATATACTTTTTAAAAAAAAAAAACCTCAACTTTCAGCCTAAACAGGCCTGTAAGTTGAACTATAACATCATAGAGGTACACATTCCTTAGAACAATCAACCATTTAAGATCAAAAGGACAGCATTTGCCCAGGGAGAAAGTGGGATGAGTGCTGTTACTTCATGGGAATTTCAGTCAGTGGCATGAAACAAAATGTGTTTAGATTACTGAATGGAAAACTGCAAACCTTTACCCAAATCACAATAAAAGGTTTACATATGTTGTTGTTGTTATGTGCCTTTGAGTCATCTCTGACTCATAGCAACCCGTCCTTGGGTTTCTGAGGCAGTATCACTATGGAAGTAGATTGCCCAACTTTCCTTCCAGGGAGTGGCTGGTAGGTTTGAACCACCAACCTTCTGGTTAGCAGTCAAATGCCTTAGGCACTGTGCCACCAGAGCTCCCAAAATATATGTATAGATGCAGATACATAGTTATGATTTGTGCTTTTGATGTTATATCTCAATAAAAAAGAAAATAGAATGCCTGGGCCTCATACTGCGAAATTTTGATTCTTCACAGTGAGGCCCAAGCAGTAGTAATTTTCTAATGTTTTCCAAACAGGGTTGAGATCTGTCTTAGACTGGGTTCTCTAAAGAAACAAAACCAGTGAAGTTTAGAAACCAAAAAAAAAAAAAACCAACTCACTGCTGTAGAGTCAGATCCAACTCATGGCAACCCTTCCTTGGGTTTTCTAGATGATATCACTATAAAAGTAGATCGCCCAACCTTCCTTTCAAGGAGTAGCTGGTGGGTTTGAACTGCCAGCCTTCTGGTTAGCAGTCACGTGCCTTCAATACTACTCCACCAGAGCTCCTAGTGAAGCTTAGAGAGAGAGAGAGAAAATTACCTTAAGGAAATGGCTCATGCAGTTGTAGTGACTGGCAAGTCCAAGTCTGCAGGTCATATGTCAAGCTGGAGGCCTCTCCTAACTCATGTAGCTGATGGTCTGACAACCCAAGATCAGCAGGGTATGTAGCAGGCTGCTGGCTTCAGAGGCTAACAAATCCAAGATTGGCATGTAAAATGGCAGGCTGTTTGTTCACAAACCAAAACTCACTGCTGTCGAGTCAGATCTGACTCATCGCGACCCCCCCTGGGTTTCTGAGGTGGTATCATTATGGAAGTATATCAACCAATCCTCCTTCTGAGGAGTGGCTGGTGGGTTTGAACTGCCACTGGTTAGCAGTCAAATGCCTTAGGCACTACACCACCAGAACTCCCTAAAAAGCCCTTATTTTCTAACTATATCATAAGTCCTAAATCACTTAGAATCATGGCCCAGCCAAGCTGACACACAACTGTAATTATCACAAGAACTATGACCTTAACTGATTAGACTTAGCCTGCAGTCAACCAGGGTGAGTGGCCATTCACTATGGGAAAAGGCCAGCTGTTGCCCAAGTAGTCCTCTTGCTATCTTTGTAAGACTCCTACTGATGTCAACTATTCTTCCTTTATAGTTCCCCTTTGTTGTGATGGTTCTTAGAAGGTTTTGAAATGAGTCAGAAGAGGACCTTCAATTATGGTACTGCACTGCTCTTTAAATCTCAAATTCACTCTACATTCTGTTTCCCAACCACATTGTCCTAGATTGGCTCATAACAGTTTGGGCCAGTGTTTTTCAAACCAGGGGTGGCAGTTCTTTTGAGGATCATGATCAATTTAATGCAACGGTCCTCCACCCTTTGTTTTGCTAATCTCAGGACCCTTATATACTCATAAACATTGAAAACCTCAAAGACCTATGTGTTATTAGATTATGTAGTGCCTAAGACATTTGAGTGCTAACCAGAAGGCTGGCAATTCAAACCCACCAGCTACTCTTCAGAAGGAAGACTGGATGATCTACTTCTATAGAGATAAGACTTCAGAAACCCAAGGAGGGGTCTCTATATGTCTGAATCGACTTGGCAGCAGTGAGTTTGGTTTGGTTTTGGTTTATACATGTGCACTCTGGAAGAAGGGACAGGTAGTACCATAGGGCCACCCTGGAGCCCAACGTGGAACAGGAGTCAGTAGATCCGTGTAGCCCTGTTTCATTCCCCATGCAGACAGTTCTGTGCTTCATTTCATAAATAACTCGAAGGTCTTAAGAGATTAAGCTCCAGTCACCATAGCAAGGTGAATTCAATAATTCATGGCCTATATTGGCTTATCTTTCTCTCAGTTGCTCCCCTATTCCCCACACCTGCTCCCTACGTTTGCTTTTCAAATGAACTGCCTCCACACCGGACTTTGTCATATTCTTCTTCATTCGTGCTGACTAGCATGCAGTGGATTTCATGGCTAGAGTTCAAGAAGCTCCTTTGGACCATGCAGTCACGCAGCAGTAGAACAAAGAAGGAGGAGCCTGAATCCTGACGTCATTACCATCCCTAGACTCCCTACCTCTGCAGTTCAGCATGACAAAGGAATTTACTTCTACCTTATTTCAGCCACTGCTGTTTTGGATTGTCCAGTCACAGCCAAGCCTCAGACTGACTAATGCAGTTCCCTTCAATGTTCCAGGCACAAAGGCATTGTCAACACTTCTCTGAGATAATCCTGCTAATTGCCAAGATGGGTTTAGATGTCTAGTCTCGACCTTTAAAGTGTCCAAGAATAACCTGAGGAGTTAATAAAATACAGATTCCCAGCTCCATAAGGCTGGGAATTCCAGAAATCTGCATTTTAACAAGCATGCCTGGAGATTCTTGTGTAGATATGCTGTGGCTACATTTTTA